ATCTGGTACAGAAACTCACAGCCATTAACTGAGAGAAGAGACAGAAACAATGAACTCCTGCTGCAGTCAGTCAGAAGAGAGGATTCAGGCAGATATAGCTGTGCTGTAGACGGACACACTCACGTCTCTTCTGCTGTTCAGCTCAATGTCACGTGTGAGTGCAGATTTTGTCATTATTTGAACAAATAAAAATGATGTAATGTGTAAATCTCAAACATTATTTCATGATTAGCACATCACCTGTGACACTTTATAAACATTATTTCCACATCCCACCTACTATTTTCTAGCATCACCAAATGACATCTAAGGGTATTGTGTTTACAGTTTAATAATTATAGACAATGGTTATACCTCCCCACCTAAAAGAGGCGGCAAGCTGAGGATCGTGCTCAAAAACAACATGTATGGCAGCCACTGGAAGAACAGTTTGGTCTGTTGTATGTGAACTTTCAGATACACAGTATCACACATGCATAGTGTGAGAAATGATTCAAATGAAACACCTCCTGATTGATTTCATGTTGGTACTTAGCCATCCCTGCAATACAGAAATGTACAGTTTTGGGTTTTAGACAATCGCTTTTCCTTTCCCACTATCAAACCCTAATATGAGGCTGCTTCCACTAGCTAGACGCCACATTGTCCTCCCCAGATTCCCTCTTTTTTCTACTCTCCTCGGTCCTCTCCATGCTCCAGGGGCCGACCCAAACGAAAGGTTGCCTCTACAAGCAACCTCGGCCCGGTCTTACTAATACCTGAATTAGGTATTATAATACCCCCCCCAACCCCCCCAACCCTTTCACTCTGTTCTCTGCAATGCCGATGCCCATCCCACTGAATGCTACAGCATTGGAACCACCCCCATGTTGCCAGCAACATCAGAACACAGATCCGCACAGAAATTCAGGCAACTGGCTCCAGAATCCCAATCCCAACCCCAGTACCTCACTATTCAGAGCTGATATTTCCATAAACCACCCCCCCCCCCCCCCCATTGACGCCTCTCTCAATTCCATTCTTCAAGCCGTCTCCCCTAGAACCCTCCAATCATATTTAACCACATGGAAGTGTTTTAGGTCTTTCCACTTCACATTCAACCTGCTTTTTCTCACGATTTTTCTCTGCTCACCATGCTTGCACTGCCGCAGCAGTGTTATCTCCTCCTCTCCTGTGGGAACTCTGTTTCTCCACCCAACTTACTTCCACTGCCACAGCAGTGTTATCTCTTCCGCTCCTACTGAATTTCAATTCAGTGTCCAACTTACTCATTGGATACTTGGAAAGCAAGTTGAAAAACAAGCTAGTTTTCACAGCCACAGCTGTGTCATCTACTCCGCTCCCGCAGGAGCTCCATTTCTCCGTCCAACTGGCTCATTGAATAGTTGGAAAGCAAGTTGGAAAAACAAGTTATTTCCACTGCTGTAGTAGTATCATCTCCTCTGCTGCCACAGGAGCTCACCCAGACTGCAACATTGTGTCGGCCCAACAATAATGCCACAACAACCAAACTCCGGTCCAATGCAAGAAGTCCTCCCGATCCAGCACCACACCATCAGCTTTGCACTCCACAAGTTTATGAGGGGGTTATCAACGGCTGTCCTGCGTTTTCTTTGCAACTTTTTTAGGGGAGTACTCTGGGTTCTGGAACACTTTCCTCGGACAGCATGCCCAAATATGTACTCTATCTAACTTATTTGTAAATGTGAACTTGTGAAATTATGTTTCATTAACAAAGTTCGGGAGGAGCACGTTCAAATTATCTATCCAATCAACATGAGAAGAGAGAGAGAGGCCTATATGCACACTGTCGACTCACCTACATTCCTCGACAGTTTTTCAGCATCCCTCCACCACCCGACTCCTCACTCTTGGCTTGTTCCTATCACAGGCAGGAATATGGGAGAGTTCTCTGGTTTCCGGCCCGAAGCCCTCTCCTCGGACAGCACGCCAAATACGCAAATACCATTTACTCAATCTGACTTAATTGTAAGTTTGTACTCGTGAATTCCTTAAGGAATGAATGCACTTCAGCTACTGTATGTTCGTTATTCTTTCTAATGTGTCAGGGGAATGTCCTTAGATGCGCTTGAACCGTCCTCCTGGCCATGTTGAACATCCATCCATCCATCCATCTTCTTCCGCTTATCCGGGCCGGGTCGCGGGGGCAGCAGTCTAAGCAGAGATGCCTAGACTTCCCTCTCCCTAGACACTTCCTCCAGCTCTTCCGGGGGGACACCGAGGCGTTCCCAGGCCAGCCGGGAGACATAGTCCCTCTAGCATGTCCTAGGTCTTCCCCGGGGTCTCCTCCCAGTGGGACGTGCCCGGAACACCTTCCCGGGAAGGCGTCCAGGAGGCATCCGAAACAGATTGGAGGAGCAGTGGCTCTACTCTGAGCTCCTCCAGAGTGACCGAGCTCCTCCCCCTATCTGTAAGGGATCGCCCAGCCACCCTCCAGAGAAAGCTCATTTCGGCGCCTGTATCCGGGATCTAGTCCTTTCGGTCATGACCCACAGCTCATGACCATAGGTCAGAGTAGGAACGTAGATTGACCGGTAAATCGAGAGCTTCGCCTTGTGGCTCAGCTCTTTCTTCACCACGACAGACAGACCGGTACATCGACCGCATTACTGCAGAAGCTGCACCGATCCGTCTGTCAATCTCCCGTTCCATCCTTCCCTCACTCGTGAACAAGACCCCAAGATACTTAAACTCCTCCACTTGAGGCAGGAACTCTCCACCAACCTGAAGTGGGTTCAACCATGTTGAACAAGTGCGAAAAATGGTAAAAACTTGCTGCTTGACTGTGCTCAATATTGGGTTCTGATTGGTCAATCGTTGTTACTTATATTTTGTTAATTATCATATAGAGAATTTTCTAATTTAATTTACATGATAAGTCTTACATAATATACAACAATGTTAATCAAATGGGGATGGTGGTTTTACAGAGGGAATTTTTTTAATATATATATACATTTACAAATGTTGTAATACACTTAAGTGCTCGATTTGAGGTGGATGCGTCCACCCCCCATCCACCCGCCGCATCCACCTCAAATCGAGCCCTGAGTGTAACCTAACAGCAACCAAAATGCAATGTTGTGAAAACAGAGTATCCTGAGTTGGTGCTATTGATGTTAACAAGACATTATCTAAATATACTGTAGTCTGTGATCAAAGACAATGTTGCTTAGTTTATTTTATGCAATTTTTGATTTTCATTTTTAGACCCACCAAAGAGCGCCTCAGTGTCCATCAGTCCATCTGGTGTAATAGTGGAGGGAGATTCAGTGACTCTGAACTGCACCAGTGACTCAAACCCTCCTGCTGAAATCCGCTGGTTTAAAGGAAGAACGATTGTAGGATCTGGAAGAATCTACAGCATCTCAAAGATCAGCTCTGATGACAGTGGAGAATACAAGTGCAAGTCCATCAATGAACATGGAGAGAAATACTCTAATGCTGTGACTTTAAACGTCATGTGTGAGTTTTTTTTAAATATATATATATATACATATACATATATTTTGACAAGACATCCGCTAAACATCTGTGATCAAACAGATAATAAAATAAAAGTTTATATAAATTGGTACAGTCTCATTTATACGTTTTTGTATGGCCTGCTCATGGGTCAGGTTTAGGGGTGCATATTCCTGCTTATTTTTGTTGCAAAGCTTCTTTTTTTTTACGAATCACATCATAAAATTCGTACTATTTCTCATGAGATCGGGCTGTGAAATTTATTTTGTTGATTAATAATTTCCCCTTTTTCATGATAGATCCTCCCAGAAACGTCTCAGTGTTAATGCGTGGATCTGGTGTAATAGTGGAGGGAGATTCAGTGACTCTGAACTGCATCAGTGACTCAAACCCTCCTGCTCTGAACTTCAGCTGGTTTAAGGAGAATGAAACCTCAGCTGTTGGATCTGGACAGAGTTTCAGTGCACTACAGAGTGGACGCTTCTACTGTCAGGCTCACAATCAACATGGATCTCAGAGATCAGACGCTGTAACCGTCACAGTCACTGTCAAAGGTAAAATAATTTAAATATTTGAGCAGAATTTTTGAGAAAAAAAAAATTATGGTACAAGTTTTGAACAGCAAAAGTGCTGTTTGTGACCAAGCGGCAAACTTCCGGTCTCTCACTTAAATCCAACACGGAAGTGAGTTAAACTGCAATTCATCGACTGGCCACTAGAGACAGCCTCCAAAAGAGACTCAATCCCATAGACCCCCATGTTAAAATGCCCAACCTTACATCAGATCAAAAACATGTTTACAGCCTGGTGCAAAAAAAATGTGGTTTTGGTCTATATAGCTAATTTTGCCCTTCATGACAATTGTGAGGGGGGTGAATTTTTGTATAACTCATCTGTTTAAATTATATTAAGCCTTAAAGTTCTGCATAATTAAGGGCGTGGCCACTTGAGTGACAGGTGGATTGCCGCTGATGTCACTACTAGCTGTTTGTCTGCTGTCTGTTAGCGTCACGTCACCTCAGCTAATCTGCCTCGCTGCCCATTTTCGTTTATGTGACACGCTGCCAAGATGGCGACGGCCGGCTCCGCCCACTCTGGGCTTTCCAGTACGCTCTTCTGAAACCTACGGGTGACGTCACGGACACTACAAGACTACATCCATTGTTTTATTCAGTCTATGGTTGTGACATGACATAATATAGAGATTGGATCTGTAGTAGAAAATTGCTGCTCTCTGAGACAAAATCAAAATTCAAATATCAACAATGTAACTTGAAAGTAAAACTGACTTGTGCATTATAGTTTAAGCAGTTAATTTCACTTAATGAATTGAAATTGAAATTTTTTTCAAGTGCATACATTTTTTTTTTTTTTATTATTAATTTATTTCGTCATCCAAAGACCTGCCAGAATACACTGGCTTGCGTAATATATTTTTAAATGCAAGGCTTCACTGAACATTTTCTGATTTCTTCATCAAATACATTTCTGCACAATGTTCCCATTTTTTCCAGGGTTTTTTTCAGGAATGCCTTACATAGTTATTGGGATCGCAGCCGGATGTGCAGTTTTATTTCTTGTCTGCATCATCATGTTCAAGAGGTGAGAATTAATTACTTACTTTTTTTTTATTAAAACACGTTGGGGTAATTATTAATAATTATTATTGTGTGTATGTGTTTACATGATTATCTCTGCTACAGGAAGAGAAAATGTGGTGGAGTGTCGAACGTCAAGCAGAATCAGGTCAGAACATAGAGTTATCCATCTGAAAATAATAATAATTAAGAATCAGGTATTTTCTGCTTCGATATCAAATATATTTATAATTATTGTATGTGATACCAGCATGTAAACAATGAAGAAAATGCTACAGTTTACAGAAACAGAAAGGTCTTCGCTCATTTTAGATGATCTATAGTTAAAGGAGAACTCCGGCGCAAAATGAACCTTTGGTCTAATAAAACATTGGTACCTAGTGAACCGTTCTGTGAGATTTGTTTTCATGACAATCGATTGAAAGATTTTTATCTCTAAAAACTGTTTAGCGTATAACGCTAGTAATGGGGGTTTTACATTTAATAAGTAAAAAGAAATCGCTAGTTTATACCACTAACAAGGCTCAAAATAGCCCCACACGAACACAGTAACATAATGAGGGTCCCTACATGCAAAACGAAGCATTGAGAACTTTGTAAGTGTACAGACCGTTTAATAAGAAGATAAAGATAAAGACAGTCCACTTCGTGTATACAGACAGGAGCCATCTTTGGAAAACAGACTCGACTAATCAAACCACGAACGACGTGCTAAGTGAGCTGAACTGTATGAATAGCATTCATGGTTTGATTAGTCGAGACTGTTTTCCAAAGATGGCTCCTGTCTGTATACACGAAGTGACATACAATTATGACATACAATTTGTATATGTCATTTAATAGGGTACACAAATAGTTCAATTTTCTGAAAGGTTTTGATGTCTTTCTCCAGGTCAGAACAGATCAGACGGCAGGAAGAACTGAATCCACAGATTCTGGGAAGATCAAGTACGCAACTATCCAACACATCGGGAACAATGAAGCCAAGTATGAAAATCTGAGAACGCTCCATCATGACCCTGCTGTGAGGTGAGATTTCCTCATTTGATTTTCAAACTTATTTTTATGTTACATAACTTGCATGATCTGGTTCTCATTCTGACCGACTCCTGCAGTTCTTTTGGTGGATCTATAATGGTCATTCACACTTTATCTCTGATTATGTTGATCCACAGATGCGGTGCTGTGAAGGATAATTTGGTGATTTACAGCTCGATCAAATGATCCAGGATCCGTCAAATGGACTGAAAATGAAGCTGTAAACGGTCACTTTGTCATCCATTTACTGCAGCTTTTTTTCAAATGTTATAATAGTGATTTAAATGCGTGTCACATCAGGAGCATTACACTAGTTAAGTCATTTATTCTGCTTCACTGTTGGCCGCCTGTAGGAAAGTTCTGGTCAGATGTACCAATACCACAGACTAAAATCAACCAAAAAATGTCCATGTTGGTTATTTACATCAGTGTATCTATTCTTTGTAAGACTGTGGTTTGGCACATCTGTGTGGGAAGTTACAGAATAATCGACGGGCTGAAATTAAACGCCTGTCGAAACTTTTCTGTAAATAGCATGTTTTGTAATATTTCCATAGTTTTGTAATTTTCCATGAATTGCAGTCTATGTTATTTTGTCATCTTGTGCATTAGTCACTCTTCGGTGAGCATCAGACATATTTGTGTCTGTATCTTCCCTCTATTTATAAATGTAAAATCTTGCTTTGACACACACATATATATTCATGCATGTTTTGTGTATCTGTATATTTTAACATTTAAATAAAGATTACGTAATAAAATGTTGTTGTTTTTTTTATATATATGTAATTGTGTGTTTTAGGTGAAGTCCTATAGTGACACATGTCTGACATTGGAAATATATTGTAGTACACATCAAAATAACATCTGGAGGACAGTAAATGTGATAATTTTTTTATGCTGAATGTTGATATGTTTTTGTCCTTGACAATAACATGCAAGTTTCACCTTGTAAAGAACAGAAAACTCTACTGCACATGTGCATAGAAAAAGCGCACAATTGCAGTAAAGTCAGATGGATTCTGATTGGCTGTCAACTCTTTGAAATTATGACATACAATTTGTATATGTCAATTTAATAGGGAAAACAACCAATAGCCACCATACTTCCCCAGTTGATTGATTACATTAAGCATTGCTACGATTTTTTGTAGTACAAGTTTTCTGATATTTAGTTTAAATATGCAAATGAGGCATTCTATTATAGGACTACTTTGCATAAAAGTTCATTAAAGAAATCTGAAAATTGAATAAAGCCAGATTAAAAATTCAGATTTTATTTTGTTGACATATAAGTTAAAAGTTTTTACAGAAGGGATTTTTATATCTCTTTTTTTCACTCGGAAAATAGTCTCAACAGCCAAAGAATAATACATTTTTAAAAGAATAAAATGTTGTAAATTACACATGAACAAACCCCTTTATCTAAAAACCTTCAGAATAGATAAGAATACCGTAAACTGTAAAGTTTGGTGTAGCCCATGTATGAGATTTCTGGCTCGGCGCAGGAGAAAAACTAATTTTGAGAAAACCGATTTAAAGATATAATGTAATTTGAAATCTACAGACGTAAACAGAAAAAGTCAAATAAAAGTATATTTTGATGCTTTCTTTCCACAAGTCTGAAAAACAACACATTAGGAAAAGCCAAATAGCCCAAAATCTCAAATTGACCAGTGCGTGAAAAAAAACAATGTTTTTGCTCTTACCTTTAGTCATAATTTAACAAATACCAATTTTATATCATAATTGTAATGACTCAACATTTTATGTCATAATTATTTATGATTTACAAAATCATGTTTTGTTGTTATGTGGCAAAACTGGGCTTCCACACATTACCTATATCATCCACCAGGGCGCGCTATATTCTAAGAGTGGGATTGTTTTGCATGTAGTGTTTAGTTTCTCTCTGCTCAGCTCTTCTTCAGCTGACCGCAGGCCACACATATGTTGCTGATGACCTGAGGTCTCACTGACCCCTGACTGCAGAGACTCGCCCTGTGCCGGAGGGAGTGTTGGGTGTCCGACTCTGGGATGTGTGTCCGAGGTGTTGGGTGTCTGGAGGATCAGGATAGCGTGTGCAGGGCGCGTGTGCTTCAATCTGAGCAAAATACAGACACACACGAATATCCATCTCATTTTCAAAGCTGTTTCCTGTGAATGTATTGGCCGCTATAGGAAAATTATGATGATAAAGTGAAAAGCTAAGACTATTTTGTGCTGTGACGTGTTTATGATTACTACAACAAAATAAATGGACAAATACCAATCTAATAATAGAAACCAGTGGTGTACTAATATACAAATTACTTTTTTACAGACAATTGATCAGTATGAAGCCCCTTGGATCATGGTGATGGGAAAACAAAATATTGGTAATGATTTTATGTTCTCTCACAAACGTTTTGAGTTCCCCTGAGAAACTTTGCATTTGCTCGCAAAGAACTCAAAAGGCTGGAGTTCCTAAAGCAGGGATCTCTAACTCCAATCAAACAACACAGCAAAACCCCAAGTGTCAAATTAACAAATCAAGTGATGATCGAACACAACTGTGCGTTCAACTGAGGCGACGAGCTCCGGCAAGGGACGGTGAGGGCGTCGAGGAGATTTGAAGTCAGGTCACCTTTATGGTAATGAGCTATGACGCGGTTCGGCGGCAACCAATCGGAATGCAGAAGTCCTCCGCTTGAGAGGATTTCGGAAAACACAGTCCAGTAAACTTTGGTTTCCGACCAGATTAGTTCCCAAGCAAAATGGGGGAGAGGTTGATCATGTGAATTTGATAAGAAGGCGTGCAACACTATTTATAGGCAACATGTTCGAGCTAGAACACTTTTCAGCGGGAATGCAAATTAAATTAGCATTTAAAGGAACACTTCACCCATTTCAGCATTAATCTTTATTGAAAATGGGTCATATATGTAGTCGAAATGTAAAATAATTTTTGAATTTGGGTGCCCTCTTGACCAAGAAAAGACAGAAAATAACTTTTGGGTGCATTTGTATGTAAGACAACAACTCCCACAATGCACCACATTGCACAGCTCCGCAAGCCACTCCCACTAATCCAGAACAGCGCAAACATCAGAAAAATCACTCTTTCGTCTACAAGGCTAACGTTAGCTGCCACCAGAGTTAGAAATTCATTTCACACAAAATTTCTAGTTAGTTGGCTGTGGCGAGCAGGACGAGGGCGAGGGACGAGAGAGGACAGCGCGAGGCCGGTGGCGTGAGTGATAATGAACGACACCTGTGAGACGCACCGGTCTCGCATCTCTCACGGAGGAGCGGAAGCATAAAAGGAGGAGCGACGACAGGGCAGATCGAGAGAGGAACAGGCCTGATTTTATGTTGTGTTTTGTTTCTGTTGCGTGTGGCTGCTGGCTTATACTTTTGTATTCGTTTATTTTACTATTAAAATGTTTAAATGTTCGCCGGTTCCCGCCTCCTTCTTCCCACAACAACGAACCCCGTAACATTGGCAAACTCATTAGTGAATTACTCCTCGTTTGTATATCTTTCTATATGGTGAATTATTGACCGGGATGTTCAGTCAGAACATATGCGGTGCGACACTAGGATGGTTCACATCACAACACAAACGTCCGTGTGCTCGTCTGATTCAGAGATTTCGTCCGGGAGAAATTGCCGTCGTTGAAATTCTCTGCAGCAGACGGACTCTATCTGTGTCCGCAGCGCACAGCGAGAGCACAGGCACCAGCAGTCCGCCCAGCTCGAGCCAGTCCGGGCTCCTCGTCCGCCTCCTGTTCCTCCATCAGCCTCAGCTGCTCTTCACTATATTGCGGCTCGTAAAGATAGCCACGAACACCGGATTCGAGCAGCAGAATTTCAAAATCCTCTTCTTCCATATCATGTTTAGTTTCTTCCGTCATTGTCGTAACTTCCTATCTCCACAGCGCTTGTTAGCTTAGCTTCCAAACAAGATGGCTGATATTGCTTTCTGTGTCTGCAAGTGCAGTCGCACCCACTGATCTGTGATAGGTCTGTAGCGAGTGGGTTCCACACCCTGAATAAATGATGAGCTTGTATTTGTAGTCTCAACCCTTATACAAAGAAATGGGACTTCCTGCTTTTTATGACGCAAAATGACGATTTTTACGTCATAAAAAGCAGGAAGTGGAACACTTAAATCCTTATTTCTCCCATCTCAGGGGAAAATAAGGGAATAAACCATGACCATTCAAAAATATGACTAGGTTTCTAAAGATACAAAGCTTAATGCAAATGGGTGAAGTGTTCCTTTAACCATGAACACAAAAGCCACACCACACAAATGGCTTTTAATTGGTTTATTTCGTTAGCAAACATGTCACTATAATTGTTAAGTTCTTTTCATCTATAAATGTCTTACTTTCATATTTAAAAGAGTTCATGAGGTTAACAAATAACAGTCTGAACAAATAACATTCAACATGCTTGTTTGCTTTGCGGCCCCTTTAAATAAAGTTGAAAAAAAAGACCAATAATCATTGGTCTAAAAGACCAATAGAATCATTCGATCTATATCTATTCGATCTCAAGAGCGTCAGAGACAAATCTTTCTACGGCGGCGGCGATAGCGACGGTGTGAACGCACAGTTAGTGATGAACACCTGCTGTTAACAAGCAGAATCACCGAAGGAAAGAGAAACACAAGAACTACAGCTGTCTTCAGACACAGTCTTAGATGAAATCAACTGATGATAAAAGAAGACATTACATCTCTCAAGATATCAACAGAGGAGGATTAAACAACTCCACAAACAGCACTGTCCTTAAGGGACATGGTGGTGGGGAAAAATATGAAATTTTCTTTGCGTTTTGCTCACAAAACTTTTGCATTCCCCAAAAAACTTTGCCTTCACTCACAATAAAGTTTCTGGGGGGAATGCAAAACATTTGCAAGAGAACGCAAAAGCAATGACAGAATTTTCTTCCCATCTCATTTTTTTTCACAAAGACCCTTTAGGGACTCCATAGGTCTGATATAGCAGATAAAAAAAGTTACATTTAATAAATGTAAATGGTGCCTCATTACATCCCATTCATTTGTCAAGGTCAAATTGAGCACACTGCATTTTGGGATAAAGTTAGTATTCAATGCAGTGTGCAGCACATTTTGACAAATAAACTAGGTCATCAAACCCAGACAGCAACATTGTCGGCCCAGATCCGGCCCACATCTGGTACACGTGGATTCCACACGGCCCGGATGTGGGCCGGATCTGGGCTGAAACTATGTTGCTGTCTGGGAAGCATGTCATCAATACAGA